CACATAGGACAAGCAAGCATGACTCCAGCCCACAGGCTGGCCCCAACAAAGGACACAAGGTTGTTTCCGAAGACCCATGAGCAAAAAAGACTGTGGATCCGAGAGAAAGAAATGAAAGGAAGACACTTGGGTGGAATATTTGCAATTCAAATACAGTATTTCAGAAACAAAAGAGAGATGCACTATGTTGAAGTGCAGGTTTCACATTGTTGGACATGTGTTTTGGACTTTTAAAAGCCATTTGAACTCTGGGTGGCTTCAATGATTCCAAAATACACCTGAGTCTAAACTGAAAAATTTCTAAGGAAAAAACCCAAAAGGAAACTGTAATTGGATGGAAAACCTGATACTATAAAAATTAGACTTGTCCTTTTTTTAAAAAAAGTATGATTTTAAGAAAACACTAAATCAGAATTTCAAGAAGACTGTCAATTAGTGACTAACTAATGAGAATATAATATTATCCTCCTTTCCCTCATCTTAAGATATTTTCTTACTTTTAAATTATAACATCTGAACTGTTGGTAATTTAACATCCACTAATTTTGTCCTAAAAAATATTCCTTCAAGCCAGTTTTCTGATCTTTAATTTCCAGTGAAGTATACAGCTAAGATGACACAGAGTGCCAATATCTAAGGCTAAATTGTGACTTTTGTTTTTACTGAAATATTCAGTCAAAATGCTTTACTAAAGAATAAAAAATGAGTGGGTGTCAAGTTGTGGGAATCTTTTGAGAGATGATAGAAGACAGTGTGGGCATGAAAGTCCCGCATCCGCCAGTTCGAGAAAAACAGGAAGAGCAAAATAGTACAACTTCAAGTTTTTAAAACATAGCACATTATTGTTAGAATTACTATTCTATTGTGATCAATGTTGTATGGCTTTGACTGCAGGGGCATTTTTTTTTTTCATTTCTCACTTATATGCTCAACAGCATGATTCTACCTTTTGAAAGGAAGAGGTCATTGGATTATATATTGCTTTAACTATCCTCCTAAGAGGGAACTACCATGATACTATGTTTAGAAATTTGGTTTATTCCTACAGAGAGCAAGGCAGTAAATTCAATGCCCACTGTTGTCACATGACTTTGTACCACATCAGAGTCAAACTCTGTGATAAAGAATATACCCAGCTATAGAGGTATTCTTAGAGTTTCAACCACGAGGGTAATCAAAGACATGTGATATTTAAATCCTTTTCTAACTGGCTGGTCCTGAAAGATATGCCAACATGCCAGTCTGCCCTTTTGTTATAGGTCGTAGACCTACTAGTCTTCAGAGGTCAACAGTTGCGTTGACCTGGTAGAACACTGAGTGAGCTGGATTGGGCTTTGATTTAGGTAGATGTGAGCATAGGCATGGACTGAGCAGGAAGGACTAAGGTGAGGGCAGGTTAGGTTAGAACTTGAAGGTCAGCTGGTTTCACCAGAGCAAAGCAGATTGGTTTACTTTGGTTCTAATCAAAATCATGGGAGACTTCTGTGAAATTTGTTTGGGGGATTGGAATCTAAAGTTCTGCTTTTAGACATAAGCACTTTTTCCTAGCCTTAAATTAGATGTGTCGTGTTTTGTACGGAAGTGAAACTAAATGGAATCATTCATGGTTTAAATTTCTTTTCTCAAATAGGGATAAGTTGATATGTTTTTATTGCTAAATATTTGAGAACTTAAAAGTTGAAAGATGTAACTATTTTTATATTGAACTTTAGTGCATGAAATGTCTTTATATACAAACTTTCCCAAATTTACTTTCCAGCTTAAGGTTCATGGTTTACTTTTGATCCAAGAAAACCAGATGCTTTCGTGAGGACAGCTTCCTCATTTGAAGGCCATGAAAATCACAAATTTTCTGTTTTGTTTTGAATGGAGAGAAAATACTGGGACAGTTTGTTTGAGGAAGAGTGTAAGAATCTTGGAAAAGGAATCACCCAATGATCATTCGTGTTCATGGCTACCATATCACGTGTAGTTGGGTTTATAGTACAAATCCGGAGTAAAACAATTTGAGATATTTGCTCCTTCCTACAAAAAGGGTTTGCTAATAAACTTACCATATGTAAGAATTTGGCCCCACTTAAAACAGCATTTGTTGTTTAACTGTAAGATTCAGTACAGATTAGAAAAAAATGTAACAATTACTGTGAATCTAAATATACTTTACATATCACTGACCCAAGCCTCAAAATGGAAAATGTATTTACTGTAGTTGAAAGGAGAAAAATGAAGAATAGACTTAATTGTTTTCTTAGCTAAGTAGGTAGGCATTTTTTAACCATGTAACCTTTAAATCCAAATGCCTTACACACACTATTTTGTTAAGCTACATATTTTATCTCTTAGTAAAAATGTGTGAACTATTGTGTAACAATAAGAAGAAAAGTCATTGGTCCTGGGAAACCGGATGTGTAAGATGTTATATAACTTGTTTCCCACTTTCAATTCAGACACTACACAACAAGGAAGTAATGATGACTTTAGCCAATGGGAAAAACAGCAAGCCAGAATCCTCCCAGCTGTTTCTCCCCTCTGTGGCCTTCAGTAACTTCAGTGGAAGCTTTGTAAGTTTAAGAAAGATGGCCAAAATTCAAAATTATTAAACCAAAAAAGTCAATCTTCAAATTAAGTCCTAGACCAGGCTCACTGCAAGAATAAGGCTTATCCCTTCCAATGTCCCAGGGCTACAAGCAATATGGCTGACTAGCCACAGCTCAAATGGGGCTGATATCACACACCCTCCTGCCAAAGGGGTGAGTAAAGGAGAAACAGTTGTTGGCTTTGAGATGTACAAATCAAGCTATTAATGTTTTCTTAGCATTCCTTTTGATTTCCAACTCCAGCTTATGGTGACTGCAAGAGATAGGAAAAATCTTCAGAGAAGACAGGTCCTTGGATTTAGTTCCATATAAACAGAGGGCCAAGGAATTATGACAAAACATTGCTCACAGAAAGTTGACTTTGCCTTTGAAGTTCTTGTGTGTTTCATATTTAAAGTCAGACCCCTCCATTCATCCAACAGTAGCACAGGGCCTTCAATAATATGACACAGTTGCTTAATTTTATTTTTCAGATTTAAAAAGGTCTTTCATAAGATCTCCCTGCATTCTGTTAAAAAGCCGTCAGCTAATACATTTTCAAGGGTTTGCCAAGAAAATAACCTGAGTTACCTTAAACTTTCAGGTCTAACTGTCCTGACTTATTATTATTATTTTTTTAATGACCACAGATGTGCTAATAATGGCTTAGATCAGTTCCTATTAAACAGAATAGACTCCACAAAGTTCCTACTAATACATTAAGGTAAAGCTTTTCAACCTTTACCTGTAGGTTTTAAATAAAACCTGTTAATTTTCTCCCCAGATCCAAGCAAATAAACTTCAGATCCAAGGAGATAAAATATTGTGGAACTGGTCAAAACAACAATGAAAATGCTGACATAATTTCTTACTACCCCAAGTATTACTATAGAGTGATATAGGTTATGTGCAGCACCAGGGTGTGAGCTGTTCCTTCAAAAGAGACTATTCTCACTAAAACCCCACAGGGCTCATTAGCACATTAACAGCCTGAAGTCCTGAGATCAGACAAAACCAAACCAAACCTCTTTAATGTTCTCTAACCCAGAATTTTTCCAGCTAGCCTGAACACATCACCCTTTTTTTTATATAATTCCTAATGCCAAACAAAATTTGGGGCATGAACACCTCCTTTTATGGTTTTTTTTTTTTTCCTTCCTAGCACAATGACTGGCCTCTGGTAAAAACTCAGTAAAACGCTTAAGGAATGAATAAATGATAACACGCATGCCTGTACTCCTGGAGCTTGTGTAGACTGAATTCTATAATTTGGGGATAGAAAACAGCTTCGTCTTCTGTAGTAACCATAGCATTTACGTTCATGGAATGAGAGTGTCACGTCTTCTGCACATTCAAATATTCTAAGTTAGGAAGACACAGCTTGAGTAGAAATAGAAGCCTCTTTACAAAACATGAGAAATCTAACAAACACAAAATGTGATGACATTAGGAAGATATTGCTTTATTGTCCTTGTCTTTGTGCAGAATTTTTTCCACCATGACCCAATGAGGATCTAGTTCCAGGATGTTTACCATCATTTAACATTTAATAGAAATCTTTCTCCACTGGTAGGTCAGCATGTAAAGAAGGTTAAGTTCTTAAAAACACCTTGATGTTGAAAAAACTGAGCTGCTGAAAGTAGACAGATAGTACCAAATTATATGAGGACTCCTGCAGAGCAAATCTCATGGACACAGAGTTTGGTACTGTGGTTTGGTCAGAGTAAACCAAAGATGGTCCAGGATATAACCGAGGTGATCGCAGTGTGATATTTGGCCACAAAAAGACAAATAAATAAATTGTGCAATGAATTCTTTACAGGGCTCTGCAATTCAGATAGCATTGTAAATTCTTTATTGCTATTTAATACGGGTGATTGGAAATAATATTAAGATACTGCATGTAGTAATAGACTGCTGAGATGATGAATTTAACAATCCTGAGCATTTATAAAGTGAGCTAATATTATATTTGTATATTTCCATGACATGTTATAACACATGATAATTTATTAGGGAGAAAGCACTTTAAAAAAATCAGTTGCATATAAATACTCCCTGAATCTAAAGTGCTGGCAAATTCTGCCTCAATGGGAATTCATTTTCCTCTTTTTTAGCCAGTCATTTTTGAAAGACTTCAATTATAAATCCAAATTTTGGTTGGAAAGATGTGACTGACCACACCTGAAAAAGAAAATGCACAGTGAAAAATACCACTTTTTCGCTGGTGTAGGTTGCCAACAGGTTAGTTGTAAGTCACTCATGAGCTCATATTATTTGCATTGGTTTAATTGCATCATTCACAAGGACCAACTGTATTGTTATGTTAGTTGGTGTTTGGCACTGCTGAAGAACATCAACTTCAGATATGTCTATTGGATAATGTGAGCCAGGCTGCAGCAAGGGTGGCTATGCTATTATTTGTAAAACACTCGTGTAAAGCAACTAATTACATTTTGCTTCTTTTGCTTTCATATTCCTCCTTTTTGGATCGTAAGCTTGTTCCATCCATTGGTAATCTTGTGGCATCTTCCTTGATTGAAGGTGAATTGGGAGCAGAAGGTCTTTTGGTAAATGCTGGCAAGGTAAAAAAAAAAAAGAGAGAGAGAGAGAGAGAGAGAGAAATAAACCTAGATGAATGCAATCCCTGAGCCAAAAGACTACACAAAATCATTGTATTTCATCTAGTTTTCTGTAAATTTTACATGGCCTAACAGACCTTCAATGTAAGAATAAGCTTAATCATTTTACAATATTTTCAAAAAACATTCATGTGACTTAGTTTGGGGGAGGTGGATTTGAAGTATCTGACAGTAGAAGATGTGTGGTCAGTATATAATGCTGTAAAGCATGCACAGAAGTTTGGAGGGAGAAATTTTAAGCAACTCCTTTTTACAAAATATACTTTGTTACATGAAAGGAAATTGAGACTAGATTTGGAATCTTCGTTTACTTGTTTTCTACTGCCTCTGAACATCTCTTGTGAGTTCCAACTGTGTGAAATCTTCCTGCTTGATTTCTCATCTCTGATGCCTGCCCATCCCTATGCTTCTCCATCTCACAAAATGACATGCTCAATCACCTGGTTTCTCAGATCTTGGTTCCTTCTTCCTTTGTCCTGCCTGCTCCACCCATCCAATTTAGGAGTAAGTTCTAATGGTTATACCTCCAAATTCACCTGAGTTCTTCTGCTTTACCCCACCCTCTACTACCATCACCCCAGACCAAGCTACCATTTTCTCTTTTCCTGTTTTACGTTGCCCTCTTTCTCCATACTATAATCAGAGCCAAATCAGACTAGGTCATTTTTCTGCTTAACCACCGCCTCCCCAATCCCACCTTGCCACAATGGCCTCCCAGCAAACTTAGAATAAAATCCACACATCTGACTGTAGGGCAGATGGAGTCAGTCAGGTTCCCTCACCCGGATGTCCGGGCAACTATGACTAAGCAGTATTCAATAACCTTGAGTATGGACCCCCTATGTGCAGAAGCACACTCTAAAATATCTCGGCACCCTGCTGGCTTTGTGTGCTTTAGTATATATGCTAAAATATACATATATTTTATGATATACATATATTTTATGATATATGTGTATTTTAGCATATATACGTTGGGACGTCCAACAGCGCTACTAGCCACATGTGGCCTGCAGGACCACCTCACCCCCTGCATGTCAGCCATCCCCACGGCTCGGCACATTTTCTTCCTTCTTCCCGGATCCCATGTGAACCTGCCTGGCCTTGAAAGGTGGCAAGACACTGACTTTAGCTCCACTGGGACCACCTATCTCTCCCCACTTCTCTCTCTCTCACTGGAACCTCCTTTCTCTCCCCTGTTGTCTCTCTTGCTCGCTCGCTCGCTCAGTGTCCCCTCTCTCTAAATCATATTCCTTTCTTCTCTGGGTCCTTTGCACTTTCACTGCTCCTTCTTCCCACTCAATTTTAACTCAGCTGCTGTTTCTTGCCATTCAGGTCTCACTAAACTCAGTTGTAACCTCCTCAGAAAGACATCTCCTGATCACTAATTTAAAGTAGCAGTCCCGTTCCAGGTACCTTCTACCATTTTACATTGATATCACCAATCATCATTTTAAATTGTTTACTTGTTTACTACCAATTTCCTCCATGAGATGAGGTGACCCTGTCTGTCCTGTTCCCTATGGTAACCCCCCTGAGCCAAACAGAAAGCCTTGTACACAGCCTCTTAGTAAACATTGCTTGAACAACTGAATATATTTAAGGGATTTTTAAGAGATAGCCCATTGGGAATTTTCCAGTTGCTTTCTAGAAAGCACTTCCTCAAATTGCAATAATCAGAATTCCATTATTTAAAAACCTCTGGCACCTAACTGGTCAGTGAAAATAGTCACACAAAAAAATCCCTATCATGTAAAAGGAACCTATACAATGAAGAGACAGAAAGGCTGTGCTGTCATGAAATAAAATAAGATCCTTTCAAAAAAAACAAAACAAAACTTTTTTTTTCTTATCAGTACTGCAACATTTTTCCTGCCATCAATCCTTGGCATTTTATTCTACAAGTCTGAGGACAGACTACATATGAAGTGCCTGTTCCAAGTTAGCCGGGCGGACCCTGAAATACAACGTAGAAGTGAGAAGAGTGTGCTGTTCTTGTTGAGAAGTTGTTTTTCATCTGAGAGACTTAAACTCCCACGACAGGCACCTCATAACACAAACTGGGAATACTTAACCTTCCTTTTCCTTTTACAGCAATGAAAACTGAGGTGAGGAAGTGAAATACAGTTCTTTTTAGCAACTTTCATTGATTTGCTATTCTGAGACTATCAAGTTAAATTAATGTGCATGATTCACTCCCAGGGCCTATAATAATCCACAGATAACATTTTTCCCCTATGGAAAACCAGCCCTGTCTTTTTGGGATCATTTATTTACTACAATAAACATTATTCACAACAGTTTTAGAATTATAGGAAATTTGCATCAGCATGCCTTTTTAAACTTAGTTTAGAGATACCAACTCCACCAACATCAAGCATCTTAATCTCAAAGGACTCGGGAACTGGAAAAGCCATCATATCACTTCAGGCCTCACTCAAACCTGGTCCTAAGGCCTGTCCTGAAGTGTGTTCCTTTAGCCTAAAAGGAGCTATACATGGAGACTAGTGGTCAGTCCTTACTTAAAAAAAGTAAAAATGACAGTTTCAAAAGCTGGCATTATGAGTCTCTCTTACTAAGCCCCCACTGTCTACAGGCTGAAGGTAATGGAATCCAAGTCTTCTAAAAGAGTGTCCTGAGTCACGGCCATGACTTCTAGCCAGCCAGGATAAATTTGGTAGTAATCATGGCTTGAAATAATGGATTTCTGTGTTCCCATTTCCAATGGTAATATAAACTTACAATTTATACATTTCTCCCCTTCCTCCTGGCAGAAAGAATCTACCTTTTCTTGAATTGACCTGAACTACACAAAGCTGACATAAATTACTACTTAAAACAAATTTTCATTAATGCTGGATCATTTCAGAGACCACAAATTATGCAGTATTTTCCCATTTCCTTTGTTTTTTCCATGGTCGGTGATTCTACGCTTTAGTTTGGTCACAGTTTGACAGGGCACCTAAGTCAGCAGAATGAATGCCTTAGCATCTGCAGCATAGACAAAAGGGCCTCACCCAGTACAGATCCCAACTTGAGTCAAAGGGAGCCCGTCCGGGGGCTCATCAACTCACAGCCGCCTCGGTCCCTCCAGTGATTTACTCCTCAGGGCTCCATACAGGTCGAAACTGCTCTATACTCCAACCCTTGGCTTTCATGTTCAGAAGTTAACAAGAAAATCAAACACTTGCTAGTCAGACATAAAAGCTGAGGTTTTCTTAACAGCATTTTATTTCAACAAGGTTCCTTTTTAGCCTAAGTGTACATCATAAATGTATCAAATAGCAACAAAGGGCTCCATATGATAGAAAGACTGCAGCCTCTTGCCCCATCCGTTCCAATCCCATAATCCTGCTCCCAAGAGTCAACCACATTCAACTCTTTTAGCTTTATTTTTCTGTATTTATTTCAATTTTTGTAAATAAAAGCTTATATTGCTATTTTCTGATTTATCCATTTTAGACCTCTCCACACCCACCCACTTCTTCTCACCCATCCTCCCTATATAGTTACATCTGAACTCTAAGTTATGTCAATAGTGAGTATTTATATTACTATGGCTATGTAAATATGGCTTACATGAACTTAATAAGTATATTATGAAAATGTTTCTTTTCTTGCTCAATTTCTTCCCTGGAACTATTAATTGACTCATGTTTTATTTTTGTCTTTTTTTTATGTGCTCTTTCTCTATGACCACCCTTAATTGTTTCTAATAACTCAATGAGATCTTCTATATTAATTGTTTGTTTCTGAAGTGCTCAACTGAAGCAAATAATCTATCAATTCTTCTCTTTGTTTATTTCTTAAAGATTTTCCTGATGGAATCTTTTCTGTCTTCCTTCAATATGAGAGAACTGAAGAAGATGAGTGTTCAGATTAAAAGGGCCCACCCAGCAAGTAGCTTGTAAAGTAAGTAAGGTGAGACCCACAGGGAAGCACATCATTATGAAACTCAGTGGGGTTAAAGAGAAAATCCTAAAAGTTTCCCGGGTGAGTAAATAGTTGGTGGTGATGGAGAAGATTACTTCGAAGGAGTAGGAGTCAAACAATAAAGACAAAGTTTTCAACAGCAACATTGTTTTGGAAAATAATAGTGCAATCCCTTCAGAAGGAGTTGTTTTCAACCTAAAATTTTATAGCCAGTTTTCACTAAGGATGGGGAAAGAAATTCATTTTCAGAAATACAAAGGCAGCCCTGGTTGGTGTGGCTCAGTGGGCTGAGTGCCGGCCTGCAAACCAAATAGTGGCTGGTTCAATTCCCAGTTAGAGCACATGCCTGGGTTGCAAGCCAGGTCCCCAGTAGGGGGCGCTCGAGAGGCAACCACACATTGATATTTCCCTCTTTCTCTCCCTTGCGTTCCCTCTCTCTAAAAATAAATAAATAAAATCTTTAAAAAAAATACAAAGACAAAATATTCACCTCCCTTTGCTGAAAACAAGCAAAGAAAGGCACAGGATCTGGGACTCATAGGCATCAACATAGGAAAAGGGTGAAGGGAAGTCTCAGGAAGACAGCAGTGTAAGAGGTACTTGTTGTGTGAGCCTTTTCAACCTGCCTGCTTCTGGCTTGTTCTGCTTTCATTGCTCTTCTATCCTAAGACTCTCAGTAATCAGGTATAATCTCTCTGGAACTGATTTTCTAAATATTGGGTTGGCCAAAAAGTTCTTTTGGGTTTTTTTCCTCCTAAGTTATCTGTAGTAAAGCTTAGTTGTCTTTAACTTCATTTGAAACAGTTTTGTTAGATTGTATTGTGACAGATGTCATATCAATGTGCATTTAAAAAAAAACATCAAAATTGGTGAATTTTTGTGTAGCCATTTTAATATTGGAAATGGAAGAAAATACACATTTTTGACATATGCTTTATTATTTCAAGAAAGGTAAAAACACAACTGAAATGCAAAGAAAAACTTGTGCAGTGTATGGAGGTTTTGTGACTGATCAAACACGTCAAAAGTAGTTTGCAAAGTTTCATGCTGGAAATTTCTCACTGGACAATGCTCTATGGTCAGGTAGACCAGTTGAAGTTTATAGTGATCAAATCGAGACACTGATTGAGAATCAATGTTTTACACATGGGAGATAGCCCACATACTCAAAACATTCAAGTCAATAAAGTCATTAGTGAAAATAAAAAATGTGTCTTTTGTTTTACGGAAAAAAACATAACAGACTTTTTGGCCAACTCAGTATCTTATCTCTTCTCTCCTATTATCCTATTCTTTTATTTTCTTCTACTTTCTTCATGATTTTCTGAACTTTGTTTTTCACTTTTCTAGTTTAACATATTTTCAGTTTCTGAGACTTCTTACCTTGTGCTCCTTTTTCTTAGCATCTTGCTCTTATTTTTAATGGGTATAATATTTTCTCCCATATCTCTAAGGGCATTAATGATACTTTAAAAGACAACTTAAGTTCCTTGTATCATGAATTTCCTAAAGGTGCTGTTTTTCTCTTTGTTGGGGTTTGCTTCTCTCCTTTGTAATTTTAGAAGTTTAAAAGGAGATTAAAAAAATTACAGAACAATTTCTACAAATAAGCTGAAATTGTTTGTGATACAAAAATGGGGACATATTCAGGGTGATCCTAATCCACTTCTAATACCACATTATGAAAAATATATAGAAAATTCAAGGTTCATCAGACAAGCAAATAAGAATAAATGGGATTTCTAGGAATAAATTTAATTCAATAACATAAAATGTTTAACAATAAGGTTTCTATGATTAAAGTTTTAAAAGTATCCTAGAAAATGTTAGGTAGGTATATGAGAAAAATGATAAGTAAACTTGTCAAAAAGAAGAGTAAAACGAGGTTATGAATTAATAAGTTAATTAAATATTGTATCAATAAAGTAAACTAACAAAGAGATTTGCTTTTGAAACTAATTTTTTTACAATATAGGCAACAACTATTTTTAATAATTATGTTCTCAGTGATATTTATTTCCTATTCTTATTTAACTGTACTATAGAGGAATGAATGGCTGCCTGTGAGGAATATAATATATCTTTGAGAAATGACCACAGCTAGTTATGAAATGCTTCTGAGTGGAAAGCTGAATACAGTTTCTCTCGCTGCCTGTCATGATCATAAATGAAATTCTAGAAGTCTTGATGTTTTCCCCCTAATGACTTCTAACCACTCCTTTCCGGGTGCCTTGCTGGGGAGCCTTGCAGAAGTCACAATGGCAAAATTAAACAGGAGCAGAGCAATGACCTCTGTGCTCATATCATGGTGCTGTTTATCTCCAGGTGCATGAAACCTTCCTGGGTGGGACAGTATGTCTGACAGTGCTTTGCCCCGACCCTCCTTCTCCATGTTTATATATATCACACAGACCTGAGAAAATTTTTCTGCTTCTTAATATGAAAAATAAAAAAAAATGGCCTGTGTATATCAGACCCTGAGGTACCATAACCAACATGAGATACAATCCATATTAAAGGGTGACTATCAGATTAGAATAGCAGAGGGTTTATGCAGACATATAAAATCACTTGGTAAAATGGTTAAGACAGGAAAAAGAAAATGCTTAGCTTTAGGAATAAAATAATCATATAATGAAAACCAAAACATTATCAGAAACTGATAAATATTTATTCAATGAATCCATAAATATAAATCAGCAAAAAATGAGAGTTATCACTTTTGGATTTGACCTACTTCCTTCTGGCTTATTTTGGTACTTTATTTTATAGCAACCTAGTTTTTTTAAAGAATAAGAGCACTGTCCGATTTAATGTACAAACTCTATGCCCATGGTGAACCGAAGAGCTACGTGATTATTTAAATAAGAACTCATTAAATAACACTTGAGTCCCAATTACTTGGATAAAAGTGAACTAGAAAAGAACTACTCATATACTCATTCATCTAATATTAACTGAGCATTCACTGTGTGCCCAGTACTATGCAGGGTGCTGAAGACACAGTGGTGAACAGAACAGACACTGCACCTATCATCATGAATTCACCCTTCAGTGAACAGAGGAATGAATTTAAAAAAAAAATCACTCAAACAACAAATAACTCCATAATTATTCTGAGAAGGGTTTTAAAGAAAAATTATAATGCATTGTGGGCAGTCATAACAGAAACCATACATATATCTTTAAGTCCCAAAGGCTTCTTTAAGGACATTACATACAAGCTGAAACTTACAGAATAAGTGTAGTAGGGAAGGGGCGGGGATGGGGTGTGGGAGATGGGAATCCTGGGCCAACAGACTGCTCACATCTTGTTGATGTGGATGACGTTTTATCAACATATATACAGTGTTCACAGCATGAAATGTAGCCTGAAATTATATTAATATCCTTATTCATTGCAAAATATTATGCATTTCTGAATAGTTCTATGCAAAGCTTTTCTACTTTTTGATGATTTAAATTTTATTATCACATGCTCTAACTTCCTTTACCCACTCAACCACCGTTACCAGTGATCTCCACACAAAAATTTTGCTTAATTAAGATTATTAACTTGGGGGATTTATTTTAAGGTTTTCCTGACAAGAGTAAGGTCTAAAAAATAGGGATTCCATATATATATATCTGGAGTAAATTGAGTAATACTGTAAATGTACTTGGGGGGGCATTATTTGGGCATTGTTTGTATGACTCATAATGAAAGTGTTTTCAAATACACATTATTACTATCATGTACTGGCCTTACATTTCAATCTTTCCATGAGTTGCATTTCCTCTTTAAATCCAATTTAAAAACTGGGACAGGACTTAATTACTCACAGTTAAAGTGTGAGAATCTTGGACTAGACAGGAAGTGACTGCGATCCTGCCAAGAGGATGAGTGATCTAACCCATGCGCATGGGGACTTTCAGCGAAGGGTTGGTCATCCTGAAAAAAGACAGAGCAGCATTTCAGTTCACTGATTACAAAATGTAAAAATTGAGATTCATTTACATGTACTTATGAAATTAAATTTCAATATGATGAGAATGAAATTGAGGTTTAATTTACCAAGCTACACTATACCATAATTTAACATATTTATAACACTTGTGAAAAATAAAATCTGTGCATGCATAAGAATTTTTTTTTTTTAAAAAAGAAGGAAATCACCCATAGCCAGTAACAGCATGACATAGTTCTTTCTAGTCTTTTTTTTCCTGTGGGTAGGATTTATAAACATTGTTATAAAACTCTGTGTTCATTTATTTACATTCATACTATAAACATTTCTGAAGTCATTATATTATCCTAATCTTTACTATTTGGGTTACTAATATACTATCTAGTGGATACACTTACTAATATTTAGCTACCATAGCATGCTTCTCTGGGCATTTAGGCGGTTTCCAATGTTTTACTCCTATAAATAACACTGTGAAAAATACCGTTAAGTATACATTTTCCTTATTTAGGACTATTCTTTGTGATAAATTCTTAGGTGGAAATCTGGGTCAATAAAAACAATTTGATGTTTTAAATACATTGAGCTAGACTGCTTCCCATGATTACATTAATTTTCTTACTCATTCAATAAATATTTAATACATAAACAAAAATAAATACAAAAAAGGTCCCTCTCCTTATGAATTACATGAATGTGTCCTTTGCCCCAAATCTTAGCTGAGAATTGGAATATAACTTCTAGTAATTTTACTAATATGATTAAAAATAGATGCTTTAATATACTTTCCTGTGATAATAAAGTTGCAACCTTTTTTCTCGCATATTTTTAAATTATTTACACAATTCATTTTTTTCTTTCTTTTACTCATTCATTCATTCAACAATACTTTCTTGGGTACCTACTATGTGCTGGTCAAATAATAAACAAAACGTTGAAGTATATGGTCATGAAATCTTCCAGCTTGCAGGAGAGAAAGGCATTAAACAAGTAAAATAAATAACAATAAAAAGGAAAACTAGAAGCACTATAAGAAAAAGAATAGGAAATAAAAGGAAGAACTAAATTTAGATTTGTGGTCCAAAAGGCCCCTCTGGCAGGTGATACTTAAGGCAATATTTGAATGCTGAGTATAAATCAATAAATCATCCGGGTGAAACTTATGGGTGGATGATGGGAAAGTTGGAATTAAGGGGAGCAGAAGACAGATGTCATGGAATGATGTTCCAGACACGTGTGTAGGAACTGAAGGAAGAGTCTGGTGGGTTTGAAAACCTGAAGGCAGGCCCCATGGCTTAGGAACACTGAACCTGGGAGAAGCGATTACGAGATCCAGAGGTGACATTTGGATTTGGGACTTTTATTCTTACATAAATCAGAAAGTCAAGGGTGTTAAGGAGAGGAATGACATGCTTTGGTTTATATTTCTCAAAGATTACTCTGGTCTCTTTATGGAGAGCAGACTGGGAGACACAAGTGTTGATATGGGAATACCAGCTGAAAGGCTGTAATTGAGAATAACTGTGGGGTCAAGGGAGAGGAAGGGGTCAAGAATGTTGCCAAAGATTCTAGGTGAAACAACTCTGGGTTGGGGGCCCACAGATCCCTCAAACAGGGCCACCACATCTGGCAGAGCCTCAGGTCACAGGGCAATCTGCTGATTTAGTTGTTCTCTGCACTAAGCACCAAATTTGTATTTTATTTCTTTGTCATATATGTATTATACAAATGCAAAAGAAAGGCCAAAAAGGACATGTTTATATACATTTGCAAAAGGCCCACTTACTCTGCACTCATATGGTTTAGGATCATTAGCCTTTGTGTACCAAAAAAGGAGTTCAAGTCTATTGAAGACGAAGGCCCTAAGGTTTTTAACCAGGTGATTCATGGGGACTTCATAAAACTGGAAGTCATTCACTATAGGATTTTTGGAAAGGAGGGGATATACATTGTGCCTCAGCTACTGTAGAAGGAGCTGGCACTGGACAACTGGAGGCAGGGCAGTGGGCCTGGCTATTACAGTTTGGATATGAGGCACTAAAGGTCTGGGTAGAACTGGAAGATGCACCAATGGAAAGGAGAGTTATGTTATCAAACAATGCTCAAAAATCTCTATTTAATTATGGTTTTTATACGAAGCACAAAAGAGAAAAACATAAGAAATGGGGTCCCCTGTAAAAAATGCTTTAACGATTATGAGACAATAAGAGAAGGGAAAACTTAAGGGAATACAAACACACTCATTTTGCCCTTTGACACCCAGACTGAGAAAGACAGCGAGTGGACAGAAGTGAGATGCAGGTGCAGCCTGAAGGAACAGCCAGGGTAAAGAAGCCTCACAATAAGCCTACCAGGAGAAGGAGAAAGTATACAAAGATATGCAAGTGCTACTCATTCTTCCCAAAAGGTAAGGTTTTAAATGTCTAATGCAAAAATCAACTGGAATCAAAGCACAGGTTGTAACTTTTCTGTTCACAGAAAAAGAATACTTTATATTTTTAATTATAAAACCAGCTTCTGGCAAATGAAAGTCAAATATGGCACTGATATTTCATTTTTAGCAAGTTTGGAAAATACAGAGAAAGTTAAGTAGAAAAAAAATAATACATCAAGTTAAAAATAAGCGAATTAGCCTAGTTTAAGTGTAAATTTTTTCCAGTTCTCGTTTATAAATATCTTTATAAGTTGAGATCACCCTTTGTTGACAATTTTATTTTCTTCTTTTTTCATGTAACATTGGATGTGGAAATTTTCTATTACTGTCATCATTATGGTTAACCATAGTTTTATTTTACTAATCTCCTACTGTTGGAAATTTAAGGTTGATTTCACTTTTTTTCTATTATAATCACTCAATAAACATATTGGTGCAGAAAGCTTTGTCCTGAGGGGCAAGATGGCAGAGGAGTGAATGGAAGTCACACTGACCTCCTCCCAGGACCAATCTGGAATTACAACTATGGAGAAATCACCCAAAACAAACAACTGAACAATAGTGAGAGAGAAACCTTATAACCTCAGACAGACAGAAGAATCAGCTACAGCACAACCTGACTAGTAAGGATTGCAGTGGAGACACAGGAAGGCTGGCTGGGCATCCACAGGGAGCAGCATCAAAAGGATATTTAAGTGGCCAGTTGGATCCCTCCAAGAAGAGTGGAGTCTAAATTATAAGCAGGGATCTCCAGCCTACAGCACCAGAGCCCAAAAAGTACACAGATAACAGCCAGCTGCAAAAAGCGGCAGGGTTGCTCTCTGCTGGAGATAGGCAGCTAGAAACGCAAAGAGCTGTTTAAAGGGCCAATGCATAAATTTTCATTTGCCGCTACTTATCCTGGGCTCCAGCAAAGGTGGGAGCAGAGTGGGCTGGAGATGCCTGAGGAGAGATTGGGAAGGAGGCTTTGGGGAGAGAACCGAGGGAATAGCTGGCGGGATCCTGGTGCTGACTCCCCCCATATAGCAGCAGCCATCTTGCTCAGGCAGACCACACACCTGAGTCATTAGATTTTATACTAATAGTTTATTTCTCTCCTTTCTTATAATAATATTAATTTCTTTACAGCCTTATTAATTCTGGTTCATTTGTTGTTGATAGGGGATTGCAGGGAGGAGTTATTTTTTCAGATGTGGGTTTGTTTCCTGGGCTTTGTGGTTTTGTTCTGGCAGCACCTGCACAAAAATACACAAGACCTAGTGGGCAGAGTGAACCTCGGTCAGCCAGCTGAAGGGTAGAACCCACCAAAGAACAACCAAACAATAATCAACACCCAATTACTTCCAGAAAGCCAACACAAATGGAATAAAATGAATCCAAAGAGCAGCAAGTTCAGGAGATCAAGGAGACTACACCACTGAATCTCACAGGTCTCCTACCATAAAAGTTCACACTGCAAAGACAGGAAGTCAAGACAGATCAATTTAAGAAGCAGAAGCAAAAAAGAAGAGCCTCACAAATAATGGGAGGACAAAGAAACACTCCCAACCAAAAGGAAAGGAAGACTCCCCAGAAAGAGAACTAAATGAAATAGAGGCAAGTAAACAATCAGATATTGAGTTCAAAACAATGATTATAAGGAAGCTTAATGAGCTCATTGAGTTCAGAGAGAATTACCAACATAGACAGAGAAACTATCAACAAGAGGCAAGAGGAAATGGAGAATACAATTTCTGAATTGAAGAACACAGTAGAAGGAATCAACAGAAGACCAAACGAAGCAGAGGACTGAAACAGTGAGCTGGATGACAAGATAGAAAAAAGCTCCCAGAAAAAGCAAGAAAATGCAAGAAAATGCAGGAAATGCAGAACAACCTGAAATGTAATACTATCTGTATAATAGGGATTCCAGAAGGAGAAGAAGAGCAAGGGATAGAAAACCTGTTGAAAAAGTAATGACGGAAAACTTCCCTAATTTGAAGGGAGAAAAAGTCACTCACCTCCAGGAAGCACAGAGGGTCCCATTCAAGAGGAACCCAAAGGTGCACACTCCAAGACACATCATAATTAAAATGGCAAATATCAAAGACAAAGAGAGTCTTAAAGGCAACAAAGGAGAAACAGGTAATAACATACAAGGGAGCTCCAATATGGATAGCAGCTGACTTCTCAACAGAAACACTACAAGCCAGAAGGAAATGGCAAGAAATATTCCAAGGAATGAAAATCAAAGGCCTGCAACCAGGACACTCTACCCAGCAAGTCTCTTGATTAAAATAGAAGGCAAAATAAGGAATTTCCCAGACAAAAGAAGGCTAAAAGAATACACCTGCACCAAGCCAGCACTGCAAGATATGGTAAAGGGACTGCTTTAAGAACATGAAGAAAAAGAGTAAGAAAGAGAGGAACACAGGTACAAAGGGAAAAAAATGAGTAAGTACCTATCAATAACAACTTTAAATGTAAGTGGATTAAATGCTCCAATCAAAAGACGTAGGATAGCTGAATGGATTAGAAAACATGACCCACACATATGCTACCTATAATAGA